AACAACAACAACATCCTCATACATATCAGGACAACTTATATTTGCTATCATAAAGATTCACAACAATCTAGAAGGGTTATTATTCTTGTAAAAGCAACATTTGAGTAAATATATTCAGAGTACTAACACTGGGTACTGGCAAGAACAAAGTGAATGAAGTTCAAGGCAATACTTAATAATGTAGGAATTACATAGAAGAAACACAAGAATGTTCCAGAGCTAAGAGAAAGTGATGAAATTCAATGTACAATAAATCTGCCTCATGACCGTAAACAAGAGCATTGGTATTATCATATTCATTGCTGTTGAGTTTAAAAAGATTCGTAACTTATCTTCCAGTGGATTTTCTGAGTCTGTAAACAGCACAGGAAGAAGACACATTACATCTTTTCGCTCATAAAGATGCTAATGGATTTGAATTGCTAGAGGCACACTATTTTTGGTCCCTAACAGAAATGAGGGCGAGGAAAGAATAGAATTTTGTACAAGCAATGAGTTTTTTCATCACAAATACCATTTAAAAGAAACATAAACACAGACTATACCCATGAATGTAACCTGATGGTATGCACAGGAATCAAATGGATTACATCTGTGGAAAGAATCGCTGAAGAAGCTCGATAGCAGCTATGACCAGCAATTCCACTACTGGGAATATACCTCAAAGAGACCATAACTGACATCCAAGCAGATATATGCACACCCATGTTTATTGCGGCTTTGTTCACAATAGCAAGGAGTTGGAAACAACCTAAGTGTCCATCAACAAACGAATGGATAGAGAAGCCCTGGTATATTCACATAATGGAATACTATGCTGCATTGAAAAAGAAGGAACTCATGCAATATTATTAAAAATGGGTGACCCTGGAGGACATTATGCTGAGTGAAGTATCTCAGTCACAAAAGGCCAAATACTGCATGGTGCCACTCTTGTAAAACAGGACTGACCTTGGGGCTGGGGGCAGACTGAGAAAGATGGGTTCAATAATGTATACCGCACTGAAACAGATAAGGGAGAAAATTGTTTAAAAGGAATATGTGATTAGGTATTTTTGTCATGACAGGTGTCTAGAGCAAAGGCTACATGGTGGAGTGTACCTGGGGGAGGGTTTGTAAAACGATGAAAGAATTTTTCTTTTACTTTTACAAGAGGGTAGTGTACTAGGGGGAGGGGTTAGGAAGGGGGAAAAGTGCAACAATAAATGAATGGAAATCCAAAGTCTTTGTAAATTTTTACTGAAATTAATAATAAATTTTTAAAAAATAGCAGCTGTGAACACTAGGCCAGGTGCTCAGGTGCTGACTATGGAACAGACCACCATATACAAGTTTAAACTAAAGTTAAAGAAGATAAAATCAAATCCACAGGAACCAAAATCTACCTTGAATCTATTTCACCTGAATTTCAAAAACCATTTCAGGAACAGGTTTGAGGCCTTGAACATTAATGAACGAAGACCAGACGAGCTATGGGAGGATATCAAGAACATAATTCAGGAAGAATGTAAAATGTCATTACAAAGACAGAGGAGGAAGAAAAGACCGAGATGGATGTCAGAAGAGATTCTAAATATTGCACTAGAACATGAGAAGCCAAAGCAAAGGGAAGAAAGCAGGAAGTTAAGAAGCTCACAAGAAGATTTCAAAGGGTAGCTTGGGAAGACAAAGCAAAGTATTATAATGAAATGTGCAAAGTGCTGGAGATGGAAAATCAAAAGAGATGAACTTGCTTAAGGTGAAGGAACTAAGGAATAAATTCAAGCCTCAAGGTGCAATACTTAAGGACACTATGGGCAGAATATTGCATAATTCAGGAAGCATTAAAAGAAGGAGCATGCAGAGTCTCTATACTAAAAAGAATTTGATGACACAGAAGAATTTCAAGAAACAACGTATGATCAGGAGGCAGTGGTGATGAAGGAGGAAGTGCAAGCTGTTCTGAAGGAATTAGGAAGAAAGAAGGACCCAGGAATGGATGGAATACCAACTGACATATTCCAGTATTTCTGATGCTGATCTGGACATACTCACCAGGTTATGCCAAGAAATCTGGAAGACAACTACCTGGCCAACTGACTAGAAGAGATCCATATTTATTCCCATTCTAAAAAAAGGTACTCAACAGTGTGTGGATATTATAGAACAATATCACATACAAGAAAAATCCTGCTGAAGATTATCCACAAATGACTGGAACAGTACATTAATAGAGAGCTACCAGAAATACAAGTTAGAAGAGACATTATTGCCAACGGCAGATGGATTTTGGCAGAAAGAAAAGAGTACCAGAGGAATGTCTACCTATGTTTCATTGACTATGCAAAGGCCTGACTGTGTGGATCACTACAAACTGTGGCTAACCTTGAGGAAAATGAGAATTCCAGAATACTTGATTGTGCTCAAGTGAAACCTATACTCAGACCAGGACGTTGTCCTCAGAACAAAGCAGGAAACGCTACATGTTTAAAAATCAGTAAAGGAGTGCGTCAGGGATGTGTCCTGTCTCCATACCTTTTCAATCTATAGGCAGAACAGATCATTAAAGAGGCTGACCTTTATGAGGAGGAATGTGGCATCAGGATTGGAGGAAGACTCATCAGCAACCTGTGAAATGCAGATGACACAAGCTTGCTTGCTGAAACTAAGGAGGACCTGAAGTACTTGCTGCAGAAAGTCAAGGATTGTACACTTCAATATGGATTAAGGTCAACATCAAGAAGACAAAGATTCTCACCACTGGGCCAACTGGCAGCACCATGATAGATGGTGAAGTGACTGAGATTGTTAAGCTTCAACTCTCTTGGTTCCATAATCAATACTCCTGGTACAGCAGTCAGGAAACCAAAGATGAACTGCACTGGGAAAATCTGCTATCAGGGACTTCTCCAGAGTACTGAGGACCAAACAATGTCAATATAGAGACAAAAGTAAGCCTGATGTAGGCTATGGTCTTTGCAATGCTATAAAGCCAGAGACCTTGATAATGACTAAGGATGACAGAAGAATCAATGCCTTTGAGTTGTGGTGCTGGAGAAGAGTCTTGAACATACCATGGACCACCAAAAGAATAAACAGGTCTGTATGGAGAGGGTGAAACCAAGTTTATCCTTGGAGGCAAGGATTTTGAACCTGTGTCTCACATACTTTTGGCACTTGGCCAGGAGGGACCAGTCCTTGGAGAAGGACATCATGTTTGGAAGGATGGAGGTAGAGTGCAGGAGATGAAGATCCTGAATGAGATGGATTGTAACAGTAACTGGGATAAGAGTGGTGTGTTGGAGTCAGTGAAACTGGGTCAGGACAGGGCAGCCTTCAGAGCTGTTGTACATAGGGTTGCTATGAGTTGCAGACAAATTGATAGCACACACATAACAACAATAGCAACAACAACAACAACAAGGTCTAGGTCACCAGTAGTAGGTGATCTATCTTAGAAGTTGGAGATAAGAAAACAGAAATACAAAGAGGATGCATTTAATAGATATTTTATTCTGAATCTGGATTTGTCTAAAAGGAACTTACAGTTTGAAGAAAGCTACTACTAACAATATTTTCTTTATAGCTAATAATAGAATTTTAGTATTAAGGAAGCACTAAATGTTGAATATGAGAATACTAAATATTGAGTATGTTAAACATATAAATAAGTTAAAATTTGTAAACAGGTTCTCAGTTAACATGCTATTTATGCTCATTATGAATTAAAAATAAAGAACTAAGAGATTTGAAGTGGAAATGTAAGAGAATAAATTTCAATTAAGTTTTATTTTATATACTTGATGTATTCAACATGCTATTAAATATTCTGTTCCTACATATTTACTAACCTAGAAAAAAAAGGATAATTTATAAGCTTTAAAAAGTCTATCAGGGGCTCTGGTGGCCTAGTACAACCCCAAACACATGTAGTTCGAATCTACAGCTGCTTTGCAGGATAGGCAGTCTTCTCCCATAAAATTTACTGCTTTCTGAAAATTTGCTAGAGGGTCAGCTATGAGTCAGTTTGACTCAAAAGCACACAACAACAACAACAACAGGTATAACTATGCACTAACTCCTAAGAATTAACACATTCAGACAGACTTGAACTATATGTATATATATTCCGCCTACCCCCCTTTTTATTTGGCCATCATTTTTACCTGTAGGGTCAGATGATTTTTGGCTCAGAAGCTTTTTCTGTGGGCTTGGCTTTGGCAGTCCTTCAAAACTTTTAAGAGGCCATGAATTTGAAAAATTAATGGAGTTATCTTGACACTTCTTTGGAGATACAGTAAGAGGAGATGTATGCTTTGGACTGGTTCGAGGTGACGAGAGAGGATAGGATGGAAGGATGAAGGTTCCGGAATGTGGATTTGAACCAGAGTATGATACGGTAGGCTCTGTTTGACTGCCAAATGTTTGCTGTGTCTTACTGCCAAAATTTAGGCTTGTGTACACTGGAATAAAACAAAAGAAAATATGCTATTTACGTACATACATCTTTTAAGAGCTAAGTTTTCTGCTTTTCATATTCAGGCTTTTATTCTATATAACATTTACATATTTTTTTTTCCTGATAGAATTATTTATTATCTTGGACTTATAGGTGTTATTAAAATGTTGGCCACACTTTTTTATACCTCTTTTCCACTTTTTCCTTTGTTATTATGTGTCCATCATCTTTTATATCCTCATTACAGAGACTCAAGGTTTTTAGGGCTTTTTTATATTGTGCAAATGAGATGGTGCCACTGTTTGCAGTCTATCATCTCAAACACAGCCACAAAGTTGGTTTTCTCCATAAAGATAAGAAAAGATATGTCTGTTAATTGGGAAAGTCCCAATGTTATTAAGGTAGTTATTAAAAATTCTCTTCGGTTTTCTGGCTGGTAAAAAAGGAGTATGCTGGTGAGGAGACTCAGTAATTCCTTACTTTTATGTTTTTCCAAATATTCCCTGGCCTTCTATTACCAGTCCCAACTGGACTCCGTTGCTCTGCTAGAGTTGTTGCTAGACGTATACAGTTGTAAAGTAAGAGGCAAAGATCTAATTTTATTTTTCTATTTTATAATGGACCAATTTTCTGAGTGCTATTTTTTGAACTAATTACTGTTTTCTGTGCTCTGTAAAGCTCTCAAATATATTTAAAAGGCACTTCACCGAAGACGACATTCAGATGGCTAACAAACACATGAAGAAATGCTCAAAATCCCTAGCCCTAAGAGAGATGCAAATTAAAAC